CCCCCCTCTCTCTCTCTCCTGCCGCCGAAGATTCGAGGAGCACCTCCTCCTCCTGCTCAAGCAGAGACGGAGGCGAGAAGCGAACGTGTTTCTCCGTCGACTCGTGCACTACGACCGAAACCCTCCGCACCTCGCCGCCTCGCTCCAAGCCGGGAGGAGGGGTCACGCGGCGTGCATCCCAGCGTGGTACCAAGTACTCTCGACAGCAGCCAGGCCCGCTCACGAGGGGACCGACGACGGTTGCGACACGATCGAAGAGATTGTGGATCTCACCGAGAAGAGGGCGGAGGTGGTCGAGTGCTACGACAACGAGCCCCTGGACTGCGTCATGATGCGCATCGTGAAGCAGGAGCCCGGCTCCGATGCTGCTGCTGCTGCGGCGGCCGCGGCTGTGGGGGTCGGGGTTGGGGTGGACGGCGAGCGACCAGGTTCCGCCGCTGCTGCGGTGGAAGCGACAGTGTCGGCAGCACTGAGAGTAAAGGAAGAGAGAGCGTGAAGGCCTCTGTTGATAGCTTCCAGGGGATGTATGCAGGGGGGTACTCAGAGCCATGATGCGGGGGAGGGGGGTGGGTGTACTTGCAGCCGTGCATGCCCTAGCCGTTAAACCTTGCATCCCTTCAAAGCCGGGACGGGGCCGCTCGGGTTGGTTCTCACCAGACCAGGCTACAGCTTCACCAACCGCGGGGCCCCATGAGGTGTCGCATGGAGAGGGGGGGGGGGCGGGGGCTCGCTGCCTGACGGCCTCCACCCGGCATGATGACCTGCACCATTATAATCGAGAAAAGTATGTGACTGCAGAGAAGCTGAGGGGGGTGGGTACTCATGTTATCCATGCCTTAGCTGTTTGTGTTTGACCGTTAACCGCGCGTCCTGGAGAGGATGGAGTTGGGGGGTCGACCTGACGTATTTTTTATTTGCAGTCGGGGGAACGCCGAACGGCTAAGCCTAGCGGTGGTGGCGTAAGGAAGGAGCGGGCCAGGGGGAGCGAACATATCAGCTTGGCGCTGTGGCTGCGTTTCTGTTTTTGTTTTCGGACGTTTTTTTCTGAATGAGAGGGGGCATGAAGCGTAGTCGTAGCTTTTCGGCAATTCGTGCCCCTTGTCATCGTGGTCCTTCTTTTCTTTTATTCAAGGCCGGCATTCTTTGAAGGACCGGTTGTTGTCGGCCTTTGTTACGGATGCAACGCGCACATCGCAGGGGGCGCGAAAGTCTTCTGCGATAAATTGGTGCACGCCTTCTGGTATTTGGTGTATTATCCTTACGAGCCCGTTTAGCTTATTAGATTGTGCATAGACACACGCAAAGCAGGTTCTCAACCTTAGGGTTTGGGCTGGTAAGGGCCAATGTAAAAGCGGCTCCGCAAGCTTAGGGCTACGGTTGGTTAGGGCAAGTGCATCTAGATCAAGCTTCTATAGTTTTTCCCCATCGTGGTGGGGTCTTTTTTTCGATTGTTTCCCTTGACGGGGTTTGGGCGTGGTAACACGGTCAAGAACTTAGCCCCCTCGACTCTGGACGGAACGCGATCACAAGCGTAAAAACAGGGGGGGAAATGCGGCCAGGAGCATTGTAGGCGTTTGAATGTGCAAGCCCGTTATCCTGGCCGCGCCCCGCGTTGATATGTTGCAAGACTAGTAGGTAACTTAGATGAAGGAAATTTTCGCACGTCTCTCTGGCGTTTTTTTATGTTGTTCCCCTATGTTGACGTTAGGGGGCCTCAGGGAGAGGAAGCGGACGGGTTTCCTGACACGGCCCTCAACACCGAAGGTTGTTGGTGTGGTTGATACGATCCAAGACCTTGTGTTTTGTGAGTGGCCACGGATTGGAGATTTTGTGTGACTGATCGCGGATTGGAGATTCTGTGTGACTTGACCACGGATTGGAGATTGCTCCTACCCGTCAGGTACGCTGTGACGACACCGCTAATTTAAGGCGATGAACAATAAAAAAGTAAGGTTTGTTGCCTGCTGGTGTCGGGTTCGTCACAGTAGTCTCGCCTCTCTTGTGCTGGTCTTACGTTTCTTCTGCCGAGCGCGGGGTCGCCGCCGCGCGCAGGTGGGCTTGCTTCCCGTCGCCCCCCTCCGATATCTCTCTATCGGCATTGCCTATGCTAGAGTGCAACCCCCCCCCCCCCCCCCCCCCCCCCCCCCCCCCCCCCCCCCCCCCCCCCCCCCCCCC